CATTACCTTTCGGATAAAAAAAGAATTGTCCAAATCGGTCCACTAGCGGCGGAGTTATGCCGTAACACACATAAAAAAAAAATAAAAAAAATAAACATACCGTCGAATTGAATACCTCCTTCTTTTGGGAAGTCGGTCAAAAAGAACTATATTCACTCTCAACCTGAATTAATGCATGCAATTAAGGTCTAATTATGGAAAGGATTTTAATAATTGAGATCGGAAACTAGTGATTTATGCTCGGTTTCTGAAGTTTCTATTTATTTCATCATTACCTTATGATTCATTAGTGTTAGGTTGATCTATATTTGGAGTAAAACTCAAGTTGCGTAGTTCGGTAATGCATTTCATGATTTTATTGAACCAAAAACACTAACGAACTGCTAAACATAGCTGGGAAACCGGCCATGTGATTCGATTCTCTTTATTCAAATGGAAGAAGACTGCCGTAGGTGTATAAAGTTTATTTTCTACGTACCGTACTGCTAAAAGACCAGAAAACTTTGCGTTCTATTTCGAATCAAGTAAAGGTATGAATTTCCACAATTAACATGTAACAGGTCGTGGGCATACGCATCACAAATGTACTTACTTAATATCTTACGTAACGCTTGATGCAATGTACACTGACTCTAAACTAAGAATTTAGCAACGTATCGACCAATGTACATTTAAATAATGCTGTAATACAATGTTTAAAGCATTAATTAACATAAAATCTTGTTCATTTCTATTTGTAAATCTTGATGACCAATTAGAATGTTTTGGCCGCTTTGTTTTATTTCTTAAACACGCTAATTGCGGAATGTAGTCTAAAAATTGAAAGAAAAACAGATTGCTATTAAAAAAGGGTGACGTAACAAAAACCATATTTTAGCTTCTTCCAAGAGATATTGCTAGAAATGACCAGTCATCATTTATTATAAAAATAATATACATTTTTTCAAATGACACAGTAACTTTAGTGCATATGGAAATGGGATTTCGAATCAAAGTTATTAAACGATTCTCATCCGTGACATCCCTTCCACCATTATAACATAAATTACAATATGAATAATAATTGTCTCTCAACGTCCCACTCGAAGGCACAAACCTTTTATCATTAATAAGGGATTCCCATTATAATTTGTCAATAAGAAATCGTTAAGTGTCCATTAATTCAAACATTATCATTCGTATAATTTAAAATTATAATTTATGTTGTAATTACATATTTTATTTTGTTTCTTACAGTATTCATAATGCACATAAAAACCTAATACACGAAAGTTACAAAAGGACTGTGTAGTCAAAGAAAATTGATCTAATTAAAACCCTATTATACCTGTCTTTTTGACAAAAGAATAACCAATCATTCGATTAACTGTCGACTTGACTGGTTATTGTATACTAATAGAACTTAATATGTCTTGAATTAGAAGGTAATTGTTTCACGTTTCAATTCCTGTCTGCAAATTACTAATTTGTCCTATTTGTAATTAAATGAAGGCCGTGTACTTGACTCTGTTGACAGATATTGCTCGGGAATTGTTCATCAAATAAGCTGAACCGCTGTCTTACGCCTATAGTCGATTCCACAATAATTAATTAATTTCAACAGTTTGCTTTCGCCTAGTCGCGGTCGAGATTAATTAGTGAGTGCGGAACAAAAGTCAGGGCTGCCAATCCATCACCGAATTGTTGAAATGGGTTGGACAGCGGCTCATTTCCTTTGCTCCAGATGTGTTATTACCCATATTATTAATTGAACTGATATATTAATTTCTGTAATCATATTTTTATATAAAGTGTTAAATAATTGTTTATTACAAGCTGCTTCTATTCAATCAGTTACCACTGTTGAACTTGTATTAAACCCACATCAACTTTTCAGTACCTTTAAAAAGTAAAAAAAGGTTCAGATCAGTTTTGAATAATAACTAGCTATTGCTCGCGACTTCGCTGGCATGTAATCAAATAATTATAATAAAAATGTAGCCTATGTTACTCACAGATAAATTATTTTTCAGATGGTCACAGAATATTTCAAATCGGCCTAGTAGTTTTTACGAAATCGATTATATATAAAAGTACAAATCTTTCCACTTTATTATATTAGTATAGAT